AGACTTTTTAAAATTTTATTATTACTTTGATTTCGTTTAGAGAATGGAACAGCTGAGATGGACCAATATGTCCCATGTTGTCCCAAAACGTTATGTTATTTTAAATCTGTCTCTCTCATACTATATAATCAACTTACAAAGTTGGAATCATTTTATGTTATATTTGATTGTTAATCATCAATTTCTATCCACTTTCATGTGAAAAATATTAAATAGATAATTCAAAGAATTGGTTTAGTTTGTGTGATGTGAAATGATATTACTGAAAATTATAAAATGCAATTTTGTGAGAGAAAAAAAGAGCCTAGTGATAAGACATAATAATTATAATACAATATTATAATAAGTTGTTGCATGTGATACTTTATATTCACCCATTGATGATTTTTATTAATTTTTGTCTTACTTCCTTTAAATATGTTGCTTATATCACTAACCTGACTTGTTAACACAATATAATTTATTCTTTGAATAAAAAACATTTCAATTAAGTTGGTAAATCTTTTGTACAGGAACATTTAAAATTGCTCACAAGATTTTCTGGCTAAAAAAATTTAGCATTATTTATAACATTTAATATTTAATGTATAACTAGGACCTATTGGTCAATTTAGACTGTCCCACCTAAATTAAAATAAAAAACTCAAATCTAGCCCTGATAATTTAAACTATCTTAAATTCACTGCATACTCCACATCCAAAGACAACCCATTCTAAAGGCCAACCTCCCCGTTAAAAAAATAAAACTGTCCATGTTGAAGATGGCTGCTATCCTGTCAAAATTTATATTTGTGCCCTCTGCCCTAACATTGTGTGTAGTGTTTGGAAATGCTGTCAATGCATTCCCATGATAGTGAGTACAAATCAACTTTAATGCGAGATATCAGTAAGTTACTTGAAGGGGGTGTTATATTTCTGGCTTGATTGTTTTTCTTCAATATTATCTAACTGTACAAAGGTAATGCTTCTTTTATTGATCATGAACAGCATAAATGTTTTACCTGTATCAATATATCCAAGTTGTGATTATCTAAAAGAACAACCTGGCTCCTTTTCCCCTCTGCCATCTGAAAAAAAAGAAAAAAAGAAGACATTTTATGAGATACAAGCTACTGACTAATAGCTGATCAGCACACTGAACATAAACATTATGATAAAGAGCCCAGATAAATTCCAATACTAATAACAGTAACGGGTACATCAATAATTCAAATTGTTCAAGTATCTAATAATTAAACAAACTAAAAGTACATGAACTGAACTGGTTTTTTGTAGTTACTTTATCATCAGGATCACAAAAGAATTTCAGTCAGATATTAGGTATATAGACATATGGCGAAATTTTCCTGGCTGGTATTTCATGGTCAGTATTATAAGAAACTGTTCTGATAAACAATGAAGTTCAGATCAATGAATCAGGATCTGGTAATCCAGTCTCTTAGCTTAAAATTTGGACAAAAATCAAATATTCTGGATGATTTATATAAAAAAAAGAAGTTAAATTGAGAGTGTAAAATAATTAGTTAGGGTTTACTACGTTGATAACATTTGTAGTTGTACAGATGGCTGCATGAAATGTGTTAATAGGATGCTTGATTTCTAAGAGTTTCTGTCAGGAGAAATTTCCTAATGTACATCTCTACAAGGAATCTATACATCTTATTTTTTGCGAGACATGTGATCCGTTGCAGGAAGCATGAGTACGGCCAAAGTCTAACCTGAAACAAGTGAAAATGACTCGTAAGATCTGAACAAATAATGATACTGATATGAAAAAAAAAAAAATTAAACATATTAATCACTTATTTAGCACATACTTTCGCACAGTGCCATCTAGGTTTGAAAAACGTAACTTATAAATTCACATTCCAAATTTCTGACGTCAGTTTTACGATGTTTCAGCGTACAAACGCTATACGTATTGGAAATGTTGCTTTATATTTATATGAACTTCATATAACGCTACAAATATAGATATGTTCTCACAAAACAGCAGTAAATAAATATTATTGTTCATCAAAGTAGAAAATACTCAAATGTTAGAGAAACATAAATATATTGCACTTTTAAAAAACTTAGAAAATTATAGGTAAGAAAATAGATTCGTAAATACAGAAAAAAATCATACGTAAGAGAAAAGTAAAATTATCTTAGAGATTTTCTTTTGATATTAATGTAGTTATGGAAAGCGGCAATTCTTGGTAATAAATCTTGCTCCTTCTTTCTGCATGATTACCCAAGAATGGATTAATGACACACACACACACACCCCAC